CCTTAAATAACCAATGCCCCTTTGAAGCCTTCTATGGTCGGCCTCCGGATTATGTTCACCTTCGTCCTTTTGGTTGTCTTGTGTATCCCTGGCTTCGTCCTCACACACATCACAAGCTTCAACCACGTTCCACCCCCTGCATTTTCCTAGGTTATCATCCCACCATGAAAGGTTACAAGTGTTATGATCCTATTTCTCAGAAAATGTATGTCTCCCGTCATGTTCGTTTTGTAGAAGATCAGTTTCCCTACTCTAAACTTCTATCTACCCCAGCCTCCTCTAACCCCTTAGGCATCATCCCCATCTTTCCTCCCAGACCAGGCTCACCGGGTCCGGCACCGCACAGTGCTCAAATCGTTCCGTCTGCTACTGCTCCGCAAACGGTCGACCGTTCCCCTCATACATCTACCCAAGGTCGACCGTCTCCTCACACCCGTTCTGAACCTCTACAAACGGTTCACCCCATGGACCGTTCCCCACCCCACGGTCGAATGTCCTCCCAACCCCTCTTTGAATCTCTACAGACGGTCGATACCATTACCCGTCCACCCCCACATGGTCGACCGTCAACAGCACTGATCCCCACAACAAATGTCCATCCCATGCAAACTCATGCCAAATCAGGCATTTTCAAGCCTAAAACCTATACTGCTACCACGACTGATACCTCTCCTCCTACCTTTGAACCTCACACATATCACCAAGCCTCCAAGAATAGCTATTGGTGCCATGCCATGGATGAAGAATTTGCAGCTCTGAATGAACAGCGCACATGGGATTTGGTGCCCCTACCCAAGGGCCGAGATCCTATTGGTTGCAAGTGGGTGTATCGCATAAAACGGAATCCGGATGGCTCCGTGTCTCGGTACAAGGCTCGTCTAGTGGCCAAAGGGTACCATCAAGAGTATGGCATCGATTATAAAGAGACGTTCAGCCCGGTTGTCAAGCAGCAAACCATTCGTCTGGTACTCACTCTTGCTCTACACTATGATTGGCCTCTTCATCAGCTTGATGTTACCAATGCCTTTCTCCATGGTACACTCGATGAGGATATTTATATGTCTCAACCACCGGGATACGTCAATCCCAATAGACCTGAGTTTGTTTGCAAGCTGCGCAAATCTCTGTATGGCCTTGAACAGGCTCCTCGTGCTTGGTACACCTGTTTTGCTACTTTTTTGCAGGGACTTGGCTTCCAATGCTGTCGTCATGACACCAGTTTGTTCACTTTTCACAGCTCCCACGGCATGGTCATTGTTCTCCTATATGTTGATGACATCATTATTACTGGGAGCTCCTCTGATCTCATCTCTACTGTTACTCTGGCTATGCATAAAAATTTACGCCTCAAAGACTTGGGCCCTCTGGATTTCTTTCTTGACATTGAGGTTCGTCGCTCTGCGGATTCTATCTTGCTTCATCAGACAAAATACATATTTGATCTTCTTCAGCGGGCTGGCATGACTGATTGCAAACCCACTGTCACTTTGATGGCGGCGCGGCCAACCCAGGAGATCTTATCCACCTTCTCCGACCCAAAATTGTTCCGTAGCCTTGTGGGTGGTCTACACTATCTTGCGGTGACTCGCCCTGATATTCAGTATGCTGTAAATCGAGTTTCCCAGACCATGCATAATCCTACAGAGAAGGATTAATTGGCCCTTAAACGTATTCTTCGCTACTTGAAGGGTACTTCTTCTCATGGCCTTCTGTTCAGAAAAGGCTCTCTTGATCTTGCTGTTTATTCTGACTCTGACTGGGCTAACGACAAAGATGATCGTCGTTCCACCACTGGGTATCTCCTTATGCTGGGGCCGAATCTTATCTCATGGAGCACAAAAAAACAAACTCGCGTCTCGCGCTCCTCCACCGAACCTGAGTATCGCGCTATGGCCGCGGGGGTGGCAGAGGCGATGTGGCTTCGTTACATTATAGATGCTTTGCATGTTCCACCTACGAAACCTAAGATTTATTGTGATAATGAGTTCACAATCTGTGTCACCAAGAATCCCGTTCTCCATGATCGCATGAAGCATGTTGGCTCTGACTATCACTTTGTTCGAGACGAGGTTATGGCTGGCACTATGACTACACATCATGTTCCTTCTTCTGAACAGCTTGCTGACATCTTGGCAAAACCGCTTCCGCCAACTCCGTTCCATTATTTGTGTTCCAAGCTGCCCCTCGTATCCGTTGATCAGCTTGCGAGGGGATAATAGGAAGACTCCTAATATTGTTTAGTTTCCTAATATTATTTAGTTTACTTATTCTTGTATTACCATAATTACTTTATTCCTTCCTACTAGAAATAGGACTCTCTCTTGTAATCCCTATATATAGGGACATATCTCTCATTATTCAATAAGACAAATTATAATCAAATTGTATCAGGAACATATACAACAATTTTCAATGGTGAGATGACCGTGGGGGAGCGTGTTCTATACTCGTTACTAGTATTTGAAGACCATTCGTAAGAGTAAATAAAGGTGAATGTTAAGGTTTGGGTAGTTTTTACAATAGATTTGAATCATGCGTATCGTTGGATCAGAACTGGATAGGTTCATTGTAATCTCTTGAGAAAGAGAGAGGATGATGATGGTGACAAAGGCGTCAAGAGTAGACCAACAGAGAGTGGTAGATCTAATCTAAGAAATCATATATAATTTTTTCTGGGCATGTCAGCATGTGATAATGCGTGGGGTGGTGACTGGCGGTGATTTTTAGGCCTGCATTGGTCACATGGAGATATATCTAGATGTATGTTCGGATTTCATAATTGCAACCACAAAAATATGCTTGTTGGAAGATATGTCATTGGCTACTCCGTAAAAACTATTCACGCTGGTGAATAAATACTTAGGGGATTGCTCTAGACCATCAAAATAAACAATTTATTAATAGATGATTAGTGATCTGGTTTCTTTAATTAAATTTATTATAAAGCCCCTATATAATAGCTCTTTAGAATGAAATAAGTAATGCCTTAAGCATCAATGACCCAAGCAATATTGGGGGACGTTTGATCTCTGACAATATTCTCCTTGCGGCTGAGATTGGTCATTTCCTTTGTCGGAAGCAGTGGAAATTCTTGATGGCTCTGTCTTAAATTGGATATGGCGAAGGCATATGATCGAATGGAATGGGATTTCCTTCGATCCATGATGTTGTGGCTGGGCTTCAATAGTAGGTGGGTGAATCTTATTATGCTTTGTGTCACCACTCTGTGATACAGGGTTTTGGGGAATGATACCCTTAGTGATCCTGTTATCCCTACCAGCAGCCTTCGGCAAGGAGATGCTTTGATTCCCTACATTTTTCATTATTTGTGCCGAGGGTCTTTCTTTGCTTCTTCAAAATGCGGAAAGAAGAGGGGAGAGGCATGGGATTCAAGTTTGTAGCGGTGCTCCGTATATCTCTCATTTACTTTTTGGTAATGACAGTCTTTTGCATTTCAAGGTGACTTTGGATGAGGCTCATACAGTAATGTATGGCTTGGAGGAATATGAATGCATGTCAGGTCAATATATTAATTTTCATAAGTCCAGTGTTTGTTTGTTTTATTTTGAATGCGCCATTCTGGACATGTCAGTGGTTCACTACGTTCTTTAATGTGCCCCCGGCTCATAAATTTGGTAAGTATTTCGGCCTTCATTTCTTGGTAGAGATAAAACAGGTTTGTCTTTCATATATTTTTGATAAAATTTGCATTATATGGGGGGTGGAGTAAGAAGCTTCTTTCAAAGGCAAGGAAGGAGATTTTGCTTAGAAATGTTGCGCAGACTATGCCTCAATTTCCAATGAGTGGATCAGATTCAAAAGCTGATGAATTCCTTTTGGTGGAGGGAGAGGGGGCTGAACGCATCAGGTATGCATTGGAAGTTGTGGGAATGGCTTTTTGTACCTAAAAAGTTTGGAGGTATGGGTTTCAAGAATATTTATAATTTTAATGTTGCTATGCTTGGTAAGCAAGGGTGGCGTTTTTAAACTAGTCCTACGACCCTTCTTTCTAGTGTTTTTGAAGTGCAATATTTTCCGATCTCTTCCTTTTTGGAAGCGAGATTGGGGGCCACGCCTAGCTTTTGTTGGAGGAGCATATGGGCGGCCCAAGAACTGATCAAAGCGAGAGTGCGTAGGCGTATTGGTAATGTCGTTGAAACGATGGCCACGGGTACCCCTTGGTTGTTGGATTCTGCCAATCCTACCCTGGACATTGCAGCCCCCTCCTCCATTGGTAATCTCCCTGTTAGTTTTTTCATTGATGCTGCCTCAGGTAGATGGAAAGTAGAGAGACTTCGGTCGTACTTGGTGCAGAGTGATGTCTTTCGTATTCTACAGATTCCTTGTTGCCCTCGACGTGTTGACAGATGGTATTGGGCTCATACTGCAAATGGTTTATACTCAGTGAAATCAGCATACGGAAGACTTATGGGGGAGGCTAACATTGTTGACGGTTTTTCATAGTGGAGTCGCCTTTGGAAGTTGCCAGTTGCCCTGTTAGATTCTATCTCATATCGGAAGTTGAATAGAAAAGGTATCGATATATAAGGTCTTGAGTTGAACTAAGGAATCGATTGAATTCAATCTTTTAATGTGGTTCAGCTCAAGTGTCTTTTCGCCCAATCCAGTTATCACTACCTCATCCTAAATTCTATCATGATACCAGAGAAGGTTTTGGCCCACCTCGTTTGTCAAGGTGTCCGTCTAGACGTTCATTCCTAGCGGTCCGTTTGTCCGTATGGAGTATGTACCCAACGGCTTGTGGCCTGTTTAACACGATAGGTCGTCTGGAAGTCCATACCCAGCGACTCGTGATCCTTTAAGTGTAGGTGCTTAAAAAAATCAAGGGAATGAGAGTCCATTTGTAAGTGGTCAACCGGTTAGATTCAAAATGGCCCGGTTGTCCACTTGAGGGGGAGTGTTAGAGTCTATCTCACATCGGAAGTTGAATAGAAAAGTCATCAGTATATAAGGTCTTGAGTAGAACTAAGTAATCGATTAGATTCAATATTTTAATGTGGTTCAGCCCAAGTGTCTTATTATCCAATCCAGTTATCACTACTTCATCCTAAATTTTATCGCCCCCAAGGTGAAGATTTGTGTATGGTGGGTATTACGAGGTATTCTTCTGACCATTTATTGTTTGAATTCCAGGGGTATGGAGCTTGATAATGTTTGTCCGCTCTGTGGTTGTTTGGGATAGACGATCAAACATTTAATTTTGCTCTGTCCATTTGCAGTTTCGGTTTGGGAGGCTAGTGGGTTGCGTGTTACTCCTTGAGTCCTTGTGCTGGGGCGACGTCTCTTACGAATTGGTTGCAGGTGATTACTTTGGCAGTTTCAACAGTAGAGCTCGCCTCTATATGTTGGACCATTTGGACTATGGAAATGTCGTAACACTGCAGTATGGGAAAGCCGAGTGATGACCCCGGTGGTGGCTCTTTGGTTGGTGACGACTTTGGGTGCTGCTTGGAAGGAAACCAATTATTGGGACTTCTGTGTCACCCCCGTCTATGAAGGGTCCCATCCCTGGTGCTATTCACTGTTTTTTTTATGCTGCTATTTTCCCCTCCCTGGGCTTAGTGGGATTCGGAGGGGTTATATTTTCCTCGTCTCATGATTTTCGGGCGGCTAGTGCTCAAAGGATCTGTTGTGCTCAAGAACTGGCATTGGCTGAAGCTATGGCATGTCAAGAAGTTTTGTCTTGGTTAAAAGAACGTGGCTACCGGACTGTGATGCTTTTTTCTGATTGCCTTCGAGTTGTGGAGGCCATTAATCAAGGAGCTATAGATTGTGCTTCTTATTTTGGTTCGGTGACTGATGATTGCAAGTTGCTTGCTTATATATCTTTGTTTGATCTTTTTTCTTTATCCTTTGTTTGTAGATCTTATAATGTTCTTGCGCATTGTCTTGCTAAACGGTTGGAAATCCATACTGGTGTTTGGATCGTTCACCGCTGGATTTTGTTGCTCCTTTGTTGAATTAATGAAAGTTTGTTGCCTTCAAAAATATAAAAGACCCAAGCAATGATGTATGATTAATCTAGAAGTGTACTATTCATGATTACTTTCCATAATATCAAATGTTTGATTGGTTACTGCCCTTGGCTACCTGTGCCCCTATGCTCGTGTGCATGTATGAGAGGTAGTAATGTGGTACTAAAAGTAGCTGATGCGTCGGAGTGCAAGTATTTGCTTTTTTAGTAACTTTATCTTTCACAAACACAGTTTCCCATGGCCATTCTATCAATTATCCACAACTAAAGTGGTTTGGTTCAAATGTAATTGACTATTTTAACGTGATCTCATGAAACTAAAATATGCCATGAAATATATATATATATGCTGAGCAGGGAGCCCTTGCCTAAAGCTGCCAAATTCCAAATTAAACTTCTTTTACTAACTTTCCTTCTACAGCTCTTTTTGTTTCTTATGTGAGGTAGCCTCTGATATTTTGATTGGCATCCCCACAGGTTTCAGGGGAGGCTGAATATACTGACGACATGCCCATGCCCCCACATAGTTTGCATGCTGCACTTATATTGAGTAAAAAGCCTCATGCACGTATACTTTCAATAGATGATTCAGAGGCCAAGGCCTTTCCTGGATTTGCTGGAGTATTTTATGCCAAAGACGTTCCGTGTAAGAATATGATCGGACAAATTGTAGAGGATGAAGAACTTTTTGCAGTGGAATACGTTACTTGTGTAGGTCAGGTATGGTTTGTGCTCCATACTATTTCTGTATAAGGAATGCGACTTTCTGTGGAGACTAACAGTATTTCTACAAAAATTTCTTATTAATGCGTGTGGAGTATCATTGAAACTTCTCCAGTGTGTGCACATGTATAACTCACACACTTCATTTGCTAATATCTATCGATTGAAGGTTATTGGAGTGGTTGTCGCTGATACTCATGAAAATGCAAAACATGCTGCTGGAAGGGTTCATGTTGAGTATGACGATCTGCCCGCAATATTATCTATAGAGGATGCAATCCAGGCTAATAGTTTTCATCCTAACACTGAAAGGTTTTTGAGAAAGGGGGATGCTGAACAATGTTTTCAATCGGGTCAGTGTGATAGGGTTATAGAAGGAGAAGTCCATGTTGGTGGCCAAGAACACTTTTACTTGGAGCCTCATAGTACTCTAATATGGCCAGTGGATAGTGGCAACGAGGTGCACATGATCTCATCTACACAGGTTGATCAACTCTCATTTTATATATTTGATATCTATGTTTTTTATTTTTTATAAATAAATAGGTATAAAGCAAATCAATTTGCAATTGCATTTTCCTTCATACTGTCAGCTTGGCATTTGATATGCTTAAAAATGAAACTTCTGTGCAGTTCTATATTTAATTATAATTATAGACCCTCTTAAATCATCCACGTGGAAGGTGGTAAACTACCCGAATCCGGTTTTCAGCATAGGTTGTTGGGGCCAAGCCGGTTAAGCCGAACCGGATCGAGGGGTTGTACTTTGTAGTAATACCGGGTGAAAGACCAAATGATTTAGTGTGTGGAAAGCCTGAGACAAATCAAGTGTTCTGAGTTCTCCATAGAATAACACTGAAGGGAATATAATCCATCCATATGAACAATCTTCCACGCTCAGTACGACCAGGAAGTGAAAGTAGTTGTTGTAAACGATAGTATTGAGATTAATATAACCTAATATTTAACTTGATTCGAGATCAGACCATTATGTGAAGTGTAATAGAGTTTAGGGCGGTGAATGTGTTTTATGCAAATTGTGTGAGTGTGCATGTGTCGGGGATGAGCTGTGAAGGGGATTCATCTGTATCCTACCATTTCAATAAACATGTTGACAGAAGTCTCATTTTCTGTTTGGTACTCCCTCCAGTCCATTTTATATGTTTAGATGGCCAAGTCACACGGTTTTTTAAAAAAATTATTGGTAAGATAAATTAATCAAAACATTTAAGAAAATGATATATGGAATAGTATAAGAAGGGTAAATTGGCAGAAAATTAGTTAATGTGCTCAGATTCCATAACTGGACAGATGAAAAGGAACAAGGAATTTGGTAATCTATGCAGTAAAATAGTAAAATGGGATCAGAGGGAGTATTACTTCACAGTCAACTAGCATAGGTAATTGTTTATGTCGAAATTCATATAAAAACAACTTTCTATATTCCAGGCCCCTCAGAAACATCAGAAGTATGTGTCTCATGTTCTTGGTCTACCAATGTCTAAAGTGGTTTGTAAGACCAAAAGAATAGGTGGTGGGTTTGGAGGCAAGGAGACTAGATCTGCTTTTGTGGCTGCTGTAGTTTCTGTTCCTTCATACCTTTTGAATCGTCCAGTAAAAATTACATTGGATCGAGATGTGGACATGATGATTACTGGGCAGAGGCATAGCTTCCTTGGAAAGTATAAGGTGCTTGTTGCTTATCTCCAGTGAAATCATTTTAATGCATTCTTATGGGATCTTGCTATAGACAGGCTAACTTAGGACTGAAATGATATTGCAAGCAACATGATATAAAGATTTTTTTTAGTTAGGATTTGGTGTGATGTTAATGGAATTGATGATTTGATATTTTTTTTGATAAAATAGCTTGATGGTTTGTGTTATTTGCAGTCTTAAATTATCATATTTTGTTCCATATGATATAAATGCATTTGTTACACTCTTTCTTCTTTCTCCTTTTCCCTTTAATACATATTTTTAATTTTTTATAATATGGATTTTTATGTCTAATGTAACTTCTTGTGTAGTTCGTAAGTATTTAAATTTTACTCACAACTCACTAATGCTAAGTTAAATATTTTAAACATGTACGAGCCTGTACCAATCGTTTTAGTGCAGATCGAAGTATATAAAGTTTACTCTTGGAATTATCTGATACACCTATAAAACTTTAACCTTTTTTCTAATTTGGGAATAGAAGATTAATCACTTAAGCTCCTTCATTTTCTGAAACTATTGAACACGCCTAAAACATCATTTCTAACATTTTCTTCAATTTGGTAGAGAAGAATAAATCTCATAACCTCCTTCAATTCTTATTTTACTTAAAAGGATGGCATAGCTTCATTGTGGTTTGCGTCAAATTTTTTCAACCCATTATGGTTTCTCTGATAAAAAATTAATATTTGTGTAGGTAGGTTTTAAGAATGATGGAAAGGTGCTTGCATTAGATCTTGAACTTTACAACAATGCTGGGAATTTACTTGATCTGTCATTAGACATACTTGAACGGGCTATGTTCCATTCAGACAATGTCTATGAGATACCAAATATCACAATTAATGGAAGAGTTTGCTTCACAAATTTTCCAAGTAATACGGCTTTTAGAGGTTTTGGAGGTCCACAGGGAATGCTTATCACTGAAAATTGGATTGGAAGAGTTGCTGTGGAGGTTAAGAAAACTCCTGAAGAAATTAGGGTGTGATATGCCACTCCTTTGATGTCTTGTTCTTGTTGATGGATCCTCTCATTTCTGATCTCTTTTTTAATAATGTTAAGCATGCTTATCCTTTAGTTTTTGTTTCCAGGAGTTGAATTTTCATAGAGAAGGAGCAATCTTACACTATGGTCAAAAGATTGAACATTGTACTTTGGGACGTCTCTGGAACGAATTGAAGTCATCATGTGACTTTGCTAATGCTTGCAAAGATGTTGAAAAATTCAATCGCGACAATCGGTGGAAGAAGCGTGGAATAGCCTTAGTTCCAACCAAATTCGGGATATCCTTCACAACAAAGTTTATGAATCAGGTAACTTTCCCTTTATTAATGGGTCATCATAGTTATGTCAGGAGATCATCATTGCCTTAATACAAGTTCAGTTGCATGGAAAATCTCAAGATACAGGGACGAGTTGAAGAAAGATGCCATACTCATGGCTCACTACAAGATTTAAATTGTAAAAACAATATACCCAATTAAATCCCATAGAGTGGGGCCTGAGATTTTCCATCATCTCTGATGAAGCCAAAGATTTGCTATTTTTTGGCTTTGGGCTGTGATGGAATAAATGAAAATGGCTCTTTAAACAGTCTACTCTTCTTTTATAGGGAAGTTGCAGTTAGTCAATGCAACTTTTGACACTCATCATGGGTAATCAGCGGAGCCGCTCTATGTTTTAAGCATAGGGGCCAAGCTGCTTACATCCGACCCCCCTTTCCCCACAATGGGCGGGAGCCTTTGAGGCATTGGGATAATGTTGTTGTTAGTGTTTTAGAGTGGGGTCTGGGAGCTATTTTAAGAGATGAATAAATATAAAGGATAGACATGATATTCACCAATTACAGGCAGGTGCACTTGTTCAAGTCTACACAGATGGAACAGTATTAGTTACTCACGGAGGTGTGGAGATGGGGCAGGGTTTGCACACAAAAGTTGCTCAGATTGCTGCATTTTCCTTCGACATTCCACTCAGTGCAGTTTTTATATCTGATACTAGTACAGACAAGGTATTCTTGTGTTCTAATTTTGTACCCCCGCGCCCCAAAATGATCTTCACGCCCTCTTTTTAGTATACACTTTTTAATTCTGATTTGATCATAAAAAGTTACTCCTTATTTATTTTATGATTTGTTAAACAATCACTCCCCCTATCCCTTAAAGATATTCTTGTTTACTATTTACGTGGTCAAATCGTGTCTTATTTCCTTACATATTTTCTTTACTCGTTCGTTAAAATAAAATAGTCTAGTCACTTTTTGTTTAATATGGAGTAGAACTTTTTAAATTGTTTTTACATATATATATTCTATTTTTCAATTTTATACCAACATTAAAATGAATTGAATTGACTTCCATCTTCTCTGGTGGAGCCAAGTATTCACTCTTATTTAGCTTCCGAGTGAGATGGAATAGAGCAAAATGGTCCTTAAACTATCAGTGCTTCTTTTAATAGTTGAGTAATTGTTAGTCAATTCAACTTTCGACGCTGATCATGGGTCATCTAGAAACAGCCGCTCTATGTTTTAACAAAGGGGTTAGGCTGCATGCATCCGACCCCCCTTACCCCGCAATTGGCGGGAGCCTTTGAGAGATTGGGGTAATGTTGTTGTTGTTGTTGTTCTTGTTCTTGTATTAAAATAAATTGAATTGAAAATATTTTTAGTCAAACCTCGTAAACTGAATTAAAAAATATTTAAGGACGTAGGGAGTATAAAAACAAAGTCACAAACAATTAAATTACTCCCTCCGTCCCTATTTAATTTTCTCGGTTGCTTTAAGCATAGAATTTAAGAACGTAAAATACTGTGGTTGAACCACAGACTTCTTTACTTGAAAGGAGGTGAGAACATTATTTAAGGACATCAAAAAAAGGAAAGTGAGAGGATAAAAAGGGATGAAGGGAGTATTTAATTTTGCTAAACCAACAAATAAATCTAAAGAATTATTATGACAACTTTACCAACATTTAAAAGTCGTGCTTTGTCTTGCATGACTCTTTTTTTTTTTCGGGGATGAAGGTAATACATCAAATATAATATTCGTATACAGTTTTTCTAAAAGAATACTTTTCTTTATTCCTCTATTGAAGAAAACATGGGCAATTCCCTGGTTTGAACCAAACAAGGGGTTTATGTAGAAAATGCATTGAGTTCCTATGTTATGGATGAATAGCAGCGGTTTTGTTTTTTATGGATGAATAGCAGTGGTTTTGTTTTTTAGTTGTTCACTTGTTCATGGAGTTCCTATGTTATGGATGAATAGCAGCGGTTTTGTTTTTTTCCATCATCTCCGATGGAGCCAAAATTTCACCATTTTTTGGCTTTGGGGTGTGATGGAATAAATCAAAATGAATCTCTAAACTGTCTGCGCTTCTTTAATTAATGAAGTAGCAGTTAGTCAAGCAATGCAACTATCGACGTTGAGCCGGGGGTCTCTTTGGAAACAGCCTCTCTATTTTCGAGTAGGGGTAAGGTCTGCGTACACACACCCTCCCTAGACCCTACTCTTGTGGGATTTAACTGGGTTGTTGTTGTTGTTGTCACTTGTTCATATTTACCATAACTAGTCATAGCTTCTAATTATGTTGCAGTTCTGGTCTTCCCACATTTGAAAACTATGGATCAACTTTCATCGCTATTCAGAAATAACATAGATATGCTCACACATAATAAATTGTAACTGATTTAACTATTTGGCCATAAGTCCTATAATTGGAGGACTTCACTCTAAGCTGCAATCCCTCTTTTAATGCATTTCACCATGATGCACATCACTTTGATATTTTCCGAGGGTATAGCTTTGTGTGTGCTGATAATGGCTGATGCAGTTCTCCCACATCAATTTTTCTTCATCAATTCAGGTTCCAAATGCATCACCAACAGCAGCTTCTGCAAGCTCTGATATGTACGGAGCTGCTGTTTTGGATGCATGCGAGCAAATAAAAGCAAGAATGGAGCCAATCACATCTAAGCGTAATTTCAACTCTTTTGCGGAGGTATTTTTTTGCTTTACAGTTTTCAAATATTGGATATCTTGAATTCTGTGGCCACTAATAAATACTTAAATAATCACGAATAACTAATAGAGAGTACGTGTTCTTTGTCCATCTGAAACTACAAACATAGAAATTATACACAATAATAATTTTTGCGGACAATGTTCCAGCGTGTGACAGCTTGCTATCTAGAGAGAGTAGACCTCTCTGCTCATGGATTTTTCATTACCCCTGAAATTGGCTTTGACTGGAAAACTGGTCAAGGAACCCCATTCAGATACTTCACCTATGGGGCTGCATTTGCTGAAGTTGAAATTGATGCATTAACGGGAGATTTTCACACTAGCAGAGCAGATATTCTCTTGGACCTTGGATTTTCTCTTAATCCTGCAATTGATGTCGGACAGGTTCTTTCTACTTAACCCGTTTTGGAAGTTGTAATTACTCATTGGATCTTAACATTGAGTTTAGAATTACTTGTGAACTAAGCGAATGAAAAACACTTTTGTTGCATAGTAGTCTATATACTAATTAGTAGTTTGCACTCACAGATAGAGGGAGCATTTATACAAGGATTGGGCTGCGTGGCCTTAGAAGAGCTCAAATGGGGGGATCCGGCCCACAAATGGATTCCATCCGGATGCCTTTTCACCTGTGGACCCGGAAGCTACAAAATACCTTCCATCAATGATATCCCTTTCAAATTCAATGTTTCGCTTTTGAAAGTAAGTCATCATATTTGGGAACTGAAATTGTCGTTAAACTGATTCTGGTCACAAGAGGAAGTATTCTTCTGTGAACAATCCTAGTCTATCACACACACACTTAGAACGTTGTGATAAGCGAAGTGCTACAACACTCCCTCTGTCACAACCAGTCACACACAGCGAGAGAAATAAAGAACAGTAAAACAGACACAAGAATTGTTTACGCAGTTCGGAGCAATTCTCCTACTCTGCGGGGCCCACGTCCGTGTAATAGCCCATCCACTAAATCACTGCAAAGATTACAACTTCAACCACCGTAGGTACCAATTAGTGGATTGAACTAATCTACTACAGATGACTTAAACACATAACTCTGTTAGTGTTTCTCTCAATGGCATATTACACCAACCTCGATAACTTCTGTTATTGGACGTGCTGACAGCCCTTTCTCCAGCACTTCTTAGTTCACCAGCTGGATGCGGTTTTCATCAAAACCAAACATGGATCTGCAATATGATCTACGAACCGGCCAGAAACTTCTTGTGCTCACAACAGCACCATATATCAGAAAGAACCGAATGTGGTTCTCTTCTGATCTCTTTTTGCAGCTAGGGTTTATGGCTCTCTCAATTTCTCGCTGGATGTATTTCTGCGTACTCTCTCCNCTCTCCGTCGTCAACGTGAGATCATATCTGTACTTATATAGGAACCATATGAGAACCCTAGTTATATCTGCACTTGAACTCTTCGGCAACTGACATTCCTAGACTGCATGGGTCTCTATTTCAGCTTCGTAGAGATCAGGGATCATCTTCCACTTGTTTACGGAAACATATGCGTGACATGGTAGGACTCTACACCCAGCCAGTTACTACGTACGTACAAACAAAACACACATTCCTATTTATTTGTTTTTGTCACAAGGATAAGGCCAACAAAATAAACAAGATAAACAAAAACTCTCCCCCTTAGTAACTAACCCAGAGAACTAACAATCTCCCCCTTTGGCCATCCTTTTGGACAAAAACAAATACTTGACTCTCTGGCCTGTTGAACCTCTTCTCCCCCTTTTTTGTTCAAAAAATGAGCCAAAGTTTATTCAAATATGGGAATAGAGAAGAGTAACATCCAACACCTGAGCAAGAGAGGTACAAAAAAGACAAGCTAGAAGATCTATAATCTAGGCTGAGGGATGTACCTACACCATGTCACAGAGATGAACAAGAAAAGCGAAACGAAGCTGCAAAGAATCAAATGCAGACACAAATGGAGATAAATCTTGTTTGAACCATCCAAGAGACAAACCAGTCATAGCAAAAATAACAGCAGTGCAATATGTCTTCAAACCAGAAACAGGGCAGAACAACCCAACCAAAATGAATGTCAAATTTAAGCTTGAAAAGAGTTTGTAAAAATTATCCCCTCATGCTGAGGTATCTGTTGCAGTGTCTTCTTCCTCCTCTGAACTCTCCCCCTGAAATGATGAACCTTCTGCTTGAGCATTCTGTGCAGCATTCTCTTGCAGCCATATGAGACTTTGTCGCTCTTCTTCAAGAACTTTCTTCTGTTGGTCCACCATGAGAAGTGCTTCCTTGTTTTGCTGCAGTTTTTGTTGCAGATACTTGAGTACACCTGGCACTCCATGTGTTGCCTGCTCAGCTATCTTCATGTCATTGAAGTGCTTTCCATCAAAGTGCCTGTTGTCAACCTGCAGCAGTGGCTCCAAAGGCTCCTCTTGTTCACCATCCTTCTTGTTAAAACCCTGTGAGACAAGCATCTGAAAGATTAGCACAGGAAAGGGCAGACCATTATCATTGTGCTTATAGTTGTGTTTCCCAAATTCAGCTATTTGAGCCACAATCAGCTTTCCTAGGTTAACAGGAACATTGTTTTTGATCTTGTACAACAGCATGCCCATGACTTTTGTCACTGTGTTGATATGGGATGTGGCTAGCCAGTGACATGCAGCAACCCTGAGCAAGATAGAGTAGGAACTATTCAGGATTGACGAGGGAACTTTGTTGGAGGGGTGTTGGCTTTTCCGGGTTCCATGAGTGAGTTCTTTCCACATTGTGGCCTCACTTATCAATGCATCATGAACATCATCTAATCCCAAGAACTTGTTAACAGCAGTAGAGGAAAAAGTGTATAATTTTCCTCTGACAAACACTTTCTCAAAAGACTCAGCAGCAGGATTCACAAAATCTTCATTTAAGTTGCAATAGAACTCATGGATGACTTGCTTGACATAAGAACCAGGAATAGTAACAGATTTCAACAACTTCCTAGCATCTAACAGGGGGATAAGTGTGGTTTTCAAAGCAAAGTCCTCCAGATCAATATTTCGTTGGGGCAAAATGTGCTTCTTCACTATGGTGGGCAAGTAAGATTTAGCAGCAGTATTGACAAAAGTATGAGTTGAGGACTTCCCTGAGTGACGATTCAGATCTTTACCCCTTTTCGACTTTGAGACTTTGGATGAACTTGGAGAGCTTGTTCTGGTCTTCTTAGGTGATGGAGAAGACTCTTCTTTCATGACTGCCTCAGATCTGGTTCTCCGTTTTGACCAACGAGTAGGGTGTTGATCAGTTGTCTGTTTTGCCTTCTTCTTGGAGCTGCGAGGGGTCTTGTCTTGGTTTTCAGCATTCTTGAAAGGTACCTCAGAAACTGCTACCAGAGGGTCTTCATCCAATAGGATTTGGAACTCTTCATCTACTTCTGGATTTTGGTGTTGTTCCTCAGAGGATATTAGTGGTTTATATTCTAGCAACATGATGGTGGGAAGATCTGGGTTGAGTGGTGCCTCATCTTTCTCTTCATCTGACAGTTTTTCAACTTCCGGTGCCCTTTGAACTTCTTCATGTTCCATGGCAGTCTCAATCTCTGGATTCACGGAAGGCGAACCTTCATCTTCTTGTGAGATTTTTGCCCGAAGATTTGCTCTAGCTTGCACAAACTTCTGAATGAGACTTGCTCTCTTCTTTGTTGCATGCGTCTTCTTCCATTGCTTAGGAACGACGATCTTGGTGCGCACCATCTCTCGATGTTTCATTGAAAGATTTCTGGTATTTTCTGAGATTAGGCTTGAGATTGTGGTGAGGATGACGGAGAGAAAGAGACGATTGGATTTTGTGAGTCCCCTTTTTGAGATTTGATTTGGTGTCTCTTCGTTTTTGGTGATACAGCGCCGTACACAGATAGGTGGGCTGCATGCGCTTTATTTGTTCCTTTATTAGCTCCACGTGTCTTCTTCTGACTAATGAGTGTGTCACCTTTTTTTTTTTGTCGTAAACCACATCATCAGTAGGGAGCACATAGACCCAACTTTGATCGGAGTGTTTCAAATCTGTCACCATCAAGTGCCTTGGTAAATATATCAGCAAGCTGTTCTTCTGTAGACACGTGTTCCAAGCTCACAATTTTTTTCTCAACAAGTTCCTGTATACAGTGATGCTTGATGTCAATGTGTTTGGTTCGGGAGTGCAGTACCGGATTCTTTGATATGCTGATGGCACTTGTATTGTCACAGAATAGAGGAATTGTGTCATGATCCACTCCGTAGTCACTGAGTATGGTCTTCATCCATAAAAGTTGTGCACAGCAACTGCCTGCCGCTATGTATTCCGCTTCTGCTGTAGAAAGTGACACAGAATTCTGTTTTTTGCTCAACCATGCTACAAGGTTTCCTCCTAGAAAGAAACAACCTCCTGATGTGCTCTTCCTGTCATCTATATTACCTGCCCAGTCTGCATCACTATAAGCCATAAGTTCTGCCATTCCTCCTTTTGAATACCACAACCCCATGTTCTGAGTGCCTTTGACATACTTCAATATTCTTTTGACGGCTTTGAGATGTGATTCCTTAAGATTGGCCTGATATCTAGCGCACACTCCAACGCTGTAACACAGATCTGGTCTACTTGCTGTTAGATATAGTAGACTCCCTATGATGCCTCTGTAGCGTGTAGCATCAATCTCCTTCCCTTTATCATCCTTGCTGATCTTTTCGTGTGTTGGACACGGTGTTCTGGCACTCTTACTGTCACTCATTTCAAATTTCTTCAGCATGTTCTGCGCATATTTGGTCTGAGATATAAATATTCCTTCATCAGTTTGCTTTATCTGCAACCCCAGGAAAAAGGTTAATTCACCTATCATACTCATCTCAAACTCTTTTTCCATCACTTTGACAAATTCATCAGCCTTGGCTTTGGAAGTAGACCCAAACACTATATCATCCACATAAATCTGTGCAATCAGTATATCAGATTTGTACCATATGTAGAACATGGTGTTGTCTGCTCCCCCTCTTTTGTATCCCTCCTTGATTAGATAGGAAGTTAACCGCTCGTACCACGCTCTAGGTGCCTGCTTCAGCCCATACAGTGCCTTGTGCAGTTTGTAGACATAGTCTGGGTGCTTGGAATCTTCGAACCCCTTGGGTTGTGACACATACACTTCTTCCTTTAGATATCCATTCAGAAATGCAGTCTTGACATCCATTTGGTATAATTTCATGTCTAATATGCATGCCATGCTTATGAGCATGCGAATAGACTCAAGGCGAGCCACTGGAGCAAATGTTTCCTCAAAGTCGATCCCCTCCATCTGTGTGTATCCTTGGGCAACTAGACGGGCCTTGTTTCTGATGACATTTCCTGCCTCATCTGTTTTGTTTCGATATATCCATTTTGTGCCAATGATGTTTGTGTTTTCTGGTTTTGGAACCAATTCCCATACCTTATTCCTTTCAAACTGCTCTAGCTCCTCATGCATGGCGTTTATCCAAGCTTCTTCTGTCAGTGCCTCTTTGATGTTTTTGGGTTCTAGGGATGAAGTATAATATGCTTTTGTCATCTCTAGAAAGTCAATCTTCTTCTTCCGTGTCTTCATTCCTTCAGTGGGTGACCCTATGATGTTTTCCAGAGGATGGTTTTTCTGTATGTGTGTGGGAACACTACTGGTTATGGGACACTCAGTTTGAGTATCTTCTGAACCATCTTTTCCACCTTCTTCATCCTCAGTGTCTTCTTCAGGTGTTGTTTCTGTGTTATTGACCTCTAGTGAATCATCTGGTCTCTTGGGCTGGAGCTGATCATCTACCACAACATTTATTGACTCCATTATAGTTCTTGTTCGTTTGTTGTATACTCGATAGGCCTTGCTATTTGGTGAGTATCCAACAAAAATGGCTTCGTTGCTCTTTGGCTCAAACTTCCCTCTCTGTTCTCTGTCTCTTAAAATGTAGCATCTTGCTCCGAAGATGTGAAAATGAGCAACACTTGGTGTCCTTCCTTTCCAAAGTTCATAGGGTGTAGCCATTGTTCCACTCCTAAAGTACACACGGTTGATTGTGTAGCATGCTGTATGAACTGCTTCAGCCCACAAATTTTGTGGCAATCCATATGAGCTAATCATCGTACGTGCCATTTCTTGAACATGTCTGTTTTTCCTTTCTGCCACCCCGTTCTGTTGTGGAGTTTTTGGTGCTGAGAATTCATGCCAGATGCCATGCAGATCACAAAATGCTTCGAAAGGTCCATTGTCAAACTCTCCTCCGTGGTCACTACGCACTCTGATGACCTTTTTAATCTTCAGTTGTTTCTCATTCTGAACTTTGTTGCACAATGCTTCAAAGGCATTTAGTGCATCATCTTTATGTTTTAAAAAACTGACCCAAGTATACCTTGTGAAGTCATCTACGACCATGAGAACGAATCTTTTTCCACCCAGGCTCTCAGTTTGCATGGGGCCGAAAAGATCAATGTGCATGAGCTCCAAAGGACGACTTGTTGATCTCGTAGGTTTCTGAGGATGACTTGTTCGTGTTTGTTTCCCCATTTGGCACGGTCCACACACTTGCTCATTAATCTGAGTGATTTTGGGCATTCCTCGAACTGCTCCTGAACTAGACAAGGTCTTAAGGTCCTTGTAGTTCATATGCCCAAGTTTATAGTGCCACAATTTTGCATCTCTCTCACTTGCTGTGTAACAGAGTATATTTGGAGTGACTCTGTAACAGTTGTCTGTGGTCCTGTCACCTTCCAAGACAACGAATTTGTTTCTGTCCTTGATACGACACTTTTGTTGAGTGAACACCACTTCAAGTCCTTGGTCACAGATTTGACTAATGCTTAGCAGATTCACCTCAAGTCCTTGAACCAGCCATACATTTTTGATTGGTGGTAGCCCTGAGACATGCAGTGTTCCAATCCCGATAATCTGTCCATGTGCACCGCCACCAAATCGTACATTCCCTCCTTCCATTGGTTGAATGTTCAACAAGTTCTGTTTATCTCCAGTCATGTGATGAGAACACCCACTATCAAGCAGCCATTGGTCTGGAGTGACTTTAAGACATGAGTTGGCGCTTGAAGCCATGTGTTTTGGTACCCACTTCATCACGGTTCTTGTGAAGCCTTTTGCCGTACCCCTCTTCTTCTTTTTGTTCTTTAGCTGGTGACACTGTCTTTTAATGTGTCCCTTTTTCCTGCAGTAGAAACAAACATAATTCCAGTAATAGTTAGAAAAGAAGTGTTTCCTTACATGAGTGTGGCTAGGCTGGACTGCTTCCTTCTTGTCTCTGCTATATTCTGCCAGTTCCTCTTCAGAGATCTTTGATCTTGTTACAAACAGATCAAGCGGAGTCTTACTGCTTGTTGGTAGAGTGTGCCCAATGCCAGTTCTGTCTCCATAAAATCTTGATTTGTCCACAAGACTCTCGATTTGTTCTGCACCTGCGCTTTTCATCCACTTTTGATAGCTCTTCAGTTGAGTGAGCTCATAGTTTAGATTCGCCTTTTCCCCTTCAATCTGTTCCAGTTGCTGCATGGTTTCATCAAGTTTTCTGCGAAGGCTGTCCACCTCCTTCTGGAGCACCTCAAGTTGATTAGTGAGATTATCTGAGTCTTCATTGTGAACCTGTGTGGTGAATGCACAATTGCTGTTTCCTAGAACTTCCTCAGTATCATCTTCTTCATCACTCCAGGTTGTTACAAAGGCTTTCCGTTTCTTTTTGAGGTTATTGGCACACTCTGATTGAATATGTCCAAAACCCCCACATTCAAAGCATTAAGGACCTCTCCGTTTGGAGTCATCAGTTGATACCTTGCTATCCTTTGGCCTTGGATTTCTAAATTGAAACCCTTTTGAAGACTCAGCCTGATAATTTGGTCTTCCTTTTTTCTGCATCCATTGCTTCTTAAATTGTTTGGTGATGAGAGACAACTGCTCTTGATAATCTCCATCTGATGGGTCTTCATCGTTTTCTTCATCCATACGCAGATTCTCATATTTAGTCATAAGAATCTGTAGTTTAGCAGTTTTTACTCGTTCATCTCCTTCGTGAGTAGTTTCGAGGATCTCCCAGGCCTTCTTTGCTTCAGTGCAATTTGAAATGAGTCGGTACTGTGAGCTGTCAACTGCCCCAAACAGTGCATTGAGTGCCTTATCATTGCATTCAGCCAGAGTCGCTTCTTCTTTTGAGTATTTCTCAAAAGATTTTGCCACCTTCTCTCCTTCTGCGTTGGTCTCTGTGGGTTCTGTCCATCCGGTCTCTATGCTTCTCCATACTCTTCCACCTTGAGACTTTAAGAAGGCTCTCATGCGTCCTTTCCAAAAATTATAGTTTGGTCCTCTCAAAAGTGGTGGTCGTTGGACATTTGCACCTTCCTCCATGTCTCCCATTTTCGATCAAGCTAGTAACTTAAGCTTAACCGCTCTGATACCAAATGAAATTGTCGTTAAACTGATTCTGGTCACAAGAGGAAGTATTCTTCTGTGAACAATCGTAGTCTATCACACACACACTTAGAACGTTGTGATAAGCGAAGTGCTACAACACTCCCTCTGTCACAACCAGTCACACACAGCGAGAGAAATAAAGAACAGTAAAACAGACACAAGAATTGTTTACGCAGTTCGGAGCAATTCTCCTACTCTGCGGGGCCCACCTCCGTGTAATAGCCCATCCACTAAATCACTGCAAAGATTACAACTTCAACCACCGTAGGTACCAATTAGTGGATTGAACTAATCTACTACAGATGACTTAAACACATAACTCTGTTAGTGTTTCTCTCAATGACATATTACACCAACCTCGATAACTTCTGTTATTGGACGTGCTGACAGCCCTTTCTCCAGCACTTCTTAGTTCACCAGCTGGATGCGGTTTTCATCAAAACCAAACATGGATCTGCAATATGATCTACGAACCGGCCAGAAACTTCTTGTGCTCACAACAGCACCATATATCAGAAAGAACCGAATGTGGTTCTCTTCTGATCTCTTTTTGCAGCTAGGGTTTATGGCTCTCTCAATTTCTCGCTGGATGTATTTCTGCGTACTCTCTCCGTCGTCAACGTGAGATCATATCTGTACTTATATAGGAACCAT